GAGTTGTGTCTGTAATACACGAAGATGCTTGTAGAATGAATTATATAATGAGGCACCGGACCTCCTATGGTAATGTCACTGACTGCGGAACCGTAGAGGGAAGAAGAGCATAAATGAAGTCAAGACCGAAGTATATGGTATAGATTTAATACAATGGAGGTATCCGAGTGCAGATTGCAGATGTGGGAGTGTATGATCAAGGACTGCTAATGAAAAAAAAGGGGAAGTGCTGTTGGTATGCCGAACTGTCTTCTGGATAATTGATAAAAACTTACGGGAATGTATCAGGGAAAGAAGAGAGAAGAAAAGAAAGAATGATAAGACAAGATTGAAGGAGGGAAAGGAGGAGAGAAGGGAGAAGAGAAAAAAAAAAAAGGGGGGGGGGAGGGGGAGCACGTAAAGTGGTTAGGATGAGACAGGGAGTATCAGAAGGATTGTGATTAATACGGTGGTACTATCGCGGATGCAATTTAAGTTCAGACTATCATCAGGTTCAGACGGCTGGGGGTTGAAGCATAGGGGGGGGGGTTCAGTAACCCTAGCGTCAAATGAGACTGAATAATACCCTCAGGAATTTCAATTGCGTTCAGAAGGAATGGTCCATGAGGGATCGGTATTCAGGGTAGTCAGAAAATGTATCAAGCAGGCCCATATGTGGGAGAATTTCACAGGGGTATCGAGAGTGCAGTCGCAATCAGCTTCTCCATTTCCGCCACTTTACCTACTCGAGTGAGCCAGTCACGGACCGAGGTAGGACGTATGGAGCCCCACAGAACAGGAATACAGAGTCTGGCCGCGTTGACCATATGCATGGCTAGGGATTTGAAGTACTGACCCCTAAGAAGGGGAGAGTGGTGAAGGAGAAATTGAGCTGGGGAGAGAGAAACTAGGGGCAAGGTGGTTACAGACACCACAAGCCGGTGGACCTCTCGCCAAAACGGTTGAAGAACCGGTCAGGACCACCAGATGTGTAGAAAGGAGCCATCAGAAATTCCGCATCTCCAACAGCTATTGGGAAAGGAAGGATTGAAACGATGAATTTTCCAGGGGGTGCGGTACCATCTAGCGGCTATTTTGTAGCCGTTTTCCTGTGTTGAGACATTGAGGGAGCATTTATGAGAGTACTTGAAAATTACGTCCCAGTCGGAGTCTGATAGGTTAGTTTCCAGATCTCTATTCCAGGCCCGACAAGAGGGAAGAGAATTGTAAGTCCTGCTGTCCACTAGAAGGGGGTAGATCTCTGAAATCAGATGTTTTCGTGGTTCAGCTTTAGCGCATATAGACTCAAACGGGTGAGAGGACGGGACCAATTTTGAGGGAGTTTATGTGACAGCAAGTAATGTCTAATCTGAAAATATGTCCAAAAAGGGAACTCGCGGATATTTAGACTTTCAAGTAGTTCTTGAAGTGTTTTCATCTTGCCATTGTGGACAAAATGTTTCGCCAAGATCAGTTTATGTGGCCAGTGTTTAGATAAAAAATCATGGTGCATCCCCGGAGGTAAATCAGGGTTAAGGCGGATGGGAGTTAAGGGGTTGGGTGTTTCGGAGACGGAAGCGGATTTACTCGCTGAACGGAAAATTTTTATGTTTCGGCAAAAGCCAAGGGATCGATGCCAGGGGTAAGGGTGAGCATGCGTTTTCAACAGAGAATAGACAATACGCGGGTGCTTATGGTTCCATAGGAACAAGGAGCACATTTTCTTGTAAGATTTGAAAAAGGCCAGCGGTATCAGAATTGGTAATGTTTGGAAGAGGTACAGGAGGCGAGGAAGTATGTTCATTTTAATTATCGCCGCCTGTCCAAACCAAGAGAAACAGGGACGATGCCCACTTAGTGAGATCTTCCTGCATGGAGCAAAGGACTGGAAGAAAATTTTTTGCATAAAGGTCGTCAATGTGACGGGTAAGCTGGATACCGAGATAAGTAATGGAATCCCTTTCCCAGTGAAATGGGAATTGGGACTCACAAAAAGAAACTAAGTAAGGGGGCAAAGTGATGTTGAGAGCGGAGGACTTGGAAAAATTGATTTTAAAATTGGACAAGAATCTAAAAAAGGCAAAGTCTTTCTGTATATTTGGCAGGGTGGTGCGGGGATCTGTAAGGAACAAGAGAATGTCATCCGCATTAGGCAGCTAGTTTATATTCTTTGTCTACTACCTTGATCTCCTTGATATCAGGATTAAGACAAATTTTTCTTAGCAACGGTTCAAGGAACAAGACAAACAAGATGGGAGAGAGGGGGCATCCATTGCGCAGACGAAAAGGGTTCGACAAGTGGCCGTTAACCCGGACTTGGGCAGACGGATCAGAGTATAGGGCCATTATAAAATTAAGCATCTTCTCTCCCAATCCAGGGCCACTAAAGACGCCTTCAGATAATCCCATGCAATCCTATCAAAGGCCTTTTCCGCATCCAAAGAGAGGTAAAAACTGGGATAATTAGACCTATGGATCCAATGGTTGAGATTAAGGGCCTTAATTGTATTATCCCTTGCTTCTCTGCCAGGGATTAAATCCCACTTGATCCACATTGATTAGGGATGGGAGCAAGGGGAGGAGGCGATTAGCGATGATCTTAGCGAATAGTTTAATGTCCACATTCAGCAAGGATATGGGTCTGTAGTTAGATACCTGGGTAGCATCTTTCCTGCTTTTTGGGGATGACTGTTATATGAGCCTCCAGAAGGCGGTTGTGCAGGGTGAGAAAGCGTATTGAAGGGTGAGAGAGAAACGGAACACCCAGGATATCTAAAAAAGATTTGTAATAGGCTAACGTAAACCCATCAGGGCCCGGACTCTTACCCGGCTTCGTCTGTTTCTCCGCACATTGCAGTTCATTTAAGGTCAGATCCTTTTCCAGAGCCTGAACCAGGTCCTCAGAGAGGGCAGCAGGACCATAAAGATGGAGGACGTTCCGGAGGGAGATCGTATAAAGATCTGTAAAAGCTTTCAAAGTGGGAAGCAATAGTGGGTTAGATATGGCCTCAGAGCCATCGGAATATTTCCCATTTTGACTTATCAGTCCAAAGCATTTGCTGCCATTTCTCTGCACCCCAGTTCCTATGTTTTTGTTCATAGGATTTGAAAACCAGGCTAAGCGAGTCAACTATGAATGAAGACATAAGAAATGGGGTGCAGAAAAATGGCAGCAGGTGCTCTGAACTGATGAGTCAAAATTTCTGGTGAACTAGTAAAAGTAAATACTTCTCTGTTAACCACCTGCTAACCACTCACAGTAAATATACTGCGAGCAGGCGGCAGATACACGCACAATCACATACCCGTACGTCGGGTCTTTCTTCTTGCCGAATTGTATGCAATTCGACACAGCACAAGTTTGGCAGCAGATTTCAGTTAATGATTTTGGCTGAAATCAGCTGATTGGCTGTGTCCAATAACACACAGAGTTCTGTGCTTGCAAACACACAGAACTTTGTGTGCATAAGAAAAGTAAACTGGCTGTTTCTTCTCCCTGCAAAGCAGGAAAAAAAACAGTCAGAGCAGAGAGTAAAAGCAGCACACATTACACATCACATTGTTAGGCAAACAGTTAACCCCTTGAATGCCCCCAGGATGTTAACCCCTTCCCAGCCAGTGTCATTAGTACAGTGTCAGTGTACAGTATTATCATTGGCCACCGTATTAGTGTCACTAGCAATGTCAGTGTCAGTTAGTGACCTTCCCAAATAGTGCCTGTTAGTGCCAATTGCCCGCCACCCTATCACAGTCCCACTATAAGGCCTCATGCACACTTGACATTTTACAGCTGCTGTTTTTAGCTTTGGATGTTTTATTCTACAGCCAGTATACTCCCCAGCATGTTATCCTATGTGTCCATACACACATAGGTTTTAATCAGCTTTTTTTGTCAGGAGCGTATTTGGCTGAAAAAAAAAAAACAAAACTAGTGGGTTTCTAGAGGAGTTGTTTTTAGCTGTAAAAATGTTCTAACGTGGTAAATGTGGTAAAATACCAAACGCAGCAAACCAGCATCTTTTACCTTTTTTTTTTTTTTTTAGCCCCAAATTTTTTTTTCTCTTTAAACAGCTAAAAAACACTAACACAGAAAAACACTGCAAAACGTGGCTAAACACTAACGCAAAAATGCTAAACATTGCTGAAAAAAAATCAAATTTTTAACACAAAATTTTACAGGTAACGCTACCAGCGGTTTTAAAACGCCTAGTGTGCATGAGGACTAAGTCACCGATCACCACCATTACAGTATAGTGTCTATAGCTGTGTAATCTCCAGTATATTTATTCCATAGTTTGTAGACGCTATAACTTTTGCACAAACCATTTATTATACACCTATTGGGATTTTTTTTTATCAAAGACATGTAGCAGAATACATTTTGGCCTAAATTTATGAAGACAGTTGATTTTTTTGATTAGATATGTTTTATAACAAAAATTAGAAAATATATTTTTTATTCATAAAAAACCAAAGCTCTATTTGTGTAAAAATATACAAGAATTAGTGTACAATGTTGCATGTCCGCACAATTGTCAGTTAAAGTAGCACAGTGCTGAATAGCAAAATAAATGCTCTGGTCATGAAGGGTGTTAAAGCCTTCCAGAGGTCAAGTGATAAAGTGGTTCTTCAGTCTAATAAAAAAATAAATAAATAGAAGTCAGCAGCTAACAGTACTAGGCACATAGGCGATTTCAGCAGTAGTGGGAGCAGGTACCAAAATTAGGTATGCAACCCCCCCAAAAAAAAAAAGGTGCTAAAAGAGTGGAGAGGACACAAAGTGGAACTTCCCTTTTATAGGTGAAGTTCTGCTTTAAAGTCATAATAAACTCAATAAACATATTTTATTGTTTTATTTAATTATGATATAATAAAACATAAAAATATATTTATATTTATTGCTACATGTTAGAATTTGTATTTACAATCCACATTCTGCCAAGGTAAACAAGTTTTACTCTATTTTTGTTTCAGCATACTGATATTTAATATTTAATGTCATTTGAATTTTGTGTTTGAAGGAGTGAACAGTCTAGGCTGAAAAATCCATATACTTGGATTGTCAAGCAAGAGGAGCCTGTAAAGGAGGAGAAAAGATCTAAGAATCCAAGGCCACTGACACCAGCACTAGATGAAAGTGTCAAGCACGTGACTAAGGACTTCTGTGACTGGGTGACATCTTTGGCAAGTGTGCAGTACTTGAAACCAAGCATCTCCTAAGTGTTAATTAGCTTCACTGAGAATCACTTTAACTCTGTAATGTTTGCTAGACAATTGTACTATAAGATGAATACTCCTAAAACCAGGTCAAGCTAAGATACCTTTTTTTGTTTTTTATTCCTATTTATGCCAAACAATAGCAAACATTAAAGCGATTCATAGAGTAATTGGCTGGGTTCTCTGCCTTTTTGATGTAGTTTTTTTTTCCCTCTTTTTTTCTTCACTCCAAATAGGAAATGTGCATTCCAATGCGTTACGAATGCTTTTTTTTATGCATTTTGCTGCTTTCCAGATGCATTTCAAACATACAAAATGTAGCATGCTCTGCTTTTGTTGAGTGTACTAAAATGCACTGCACTGGTGTGAACTAGGGCCATTGCAATCCATGTTAAACACTGTTCATGCAGAATAAAAATGCTGGTATTCACCAGCCCTCAGCCAGAATGTGGAAAACGGGTGTGCGTCTTCCACTGCTGACCTTTGGGGATCTCTCTGCTTGTATCCCTGCCAATCAGCTGTTTTGTATGACCTAAGCAGCTCTAAGGTTATAAATTATTTTCAGATTTTTAGCAGTGCAGCACAGCTCATGCTAGGAAGCCCAATAAAGACGAAGAAACCTCTAAGGTCAGTTTATTTCTTACCATGCCTGCTATTCCACATACCTATTACGTTTTATCTCTGAATGCTACAAGCAAAGAGATAGCTTTCTGTCCTCAAGCAGATTGCTCAAATGCCAGAATCTGCTGTAATGCTTGGCTGACAGTCGTAATATCATATTAATTGTATTTGATTCTTCCTGTTTTTACGTAAGAGAACAGATGAAGTCTGCCCACGGAGAGATTTTTCAACAGGTTGCAAAGACTGCATGTTAATGAGCATCTCCAATAGCATCTTCTCTCTTAAATGCCAAATAAAGCTGAGGTTTGGAATAAAGAAACGGAAAATATTTGTTACACTATAGTAAACTGTGTGTGTGTGTGTGTGTGTGTATATGTGTATATATATATATATATATATATATATACTCACCGGACACTTTATTAGGTACACCTGTTCAATTGCTTGGTAACAGAAATCGCTAATCAGCCAATCACATGGCAGCAACTCAATGCATTTAGGCATGTAGACGTGGTGAAGACGACTTGCTGAAGTTCAAACTGAGCATCATAATGGGGAAGAAAGGGGAATAAGTGACTTTGAACGTAGCATGGTTGTTGGTGGCAGACGGGCTGGTCTGAGTATTTCAAAGACCGCTGATCTACTGGGATTTTCATGCACAGCCATCTCTAGAGTTTACAGAGAATAGTCCGAAAAAGTAAAAATATCCAGTGAGCAGCAGTCGCATGGACAAGAATGCCTTGTTGAGGCAGAGGAGAATGGGCAAACTGGTTGCTGTGACATTCAGATGGTAGGATCAGAATTTGGTGTAAACAACATGAAAGCATGGATCCATCCTGCCTTGTGTCAACAGTTCAGCCTGGTGGTGGTAGTGTAATGGTGTGGGGGGATATTGTCTTGGCACTAGCAAGCTGTACTTAATAATGTGGCTGAGTGAGTGTGTATGTATTTATATATATATATATATATATATATATATATATATATATTTTAAAGCTTACCAATTCCTTCATTTTAACCTGTTATTTATCAAATTCCTTAAACAGATCAAGCTGTCTAGCAAAAGTGTCAGTTAGAGGGTTGAGACAAACCATTGTTTAACACTGACAGGGGTGCTTACAATGATTAGCCTTTATTTATTTATTTAAAACCTTTATGCCAAAAGGAAAAAAAAACGTTGCTTTAACTGCTTAATGGAGTTCAGCTTTAATTTGTTGGTGAAGTCGATATAAATCTGTTAGTCCATCTAACGCTACCCTCTCCCCAAATAGATAATGCTGCTGTCCAAAGATGTCCCTTTTGCTCCTCCACTGAAGTGGAAACACCATAAGCAGGAAGTGGCCAGATCACCAGATAAAAATAAAGTGAAAAAGCCTAAAAAATAAAATGAATGCAGCCACCACATTTAATGTGGAATTCCAGGCACCACCTAACTAATCTTTAAAATGCTCCCACCTCCTTCCTAAAACTTATTCTGGCTAACCTGTATATAAAGATCTGTATACTTACTTATTTTCGGGATGCTCCAGTCCGGTCACATGATCTTCCCTATGTCAGGCAGCAGCGGTTGCAGAGCAGAGGAAAGAGTACTCTGACAAGAGCTTATAAAACCTGGAGCAGTGATGTCACCCATAGGCTTCAATCCAGAGCCCATAGGCCCATCCATTGTCGGTGCTCCGTTCTCTCCCCTGCAGCCACGCTGGCTGACAGAGGGAAACCAGATCGTTTGACCGGACTGGAGTGGGATGAAAATAGTTAACGTTATACATTTTCCTTTCACAGGTTAGTCAGCATAGGTGTTAGAAGATGGGAGGGATAATTTTTAAGATTAGTTAGGTGGTGCCTGGAATTCCACTTTGCTAAGCTGCAATATATTAATTTTTTCGGATTTAACACCACTTTAAGCTTTGGATAATTTTCTCATTTATGGGTTTGAAAATGGGTAGGTAAAGAAAATATAATCATTTTTAACAATATTCTCAGTCATTTTTGCATCATTGGCAGTAGTAACTAGTGTCAGATTGATCCTGTTCAGAATAATATTTTTCTTTTTATGTTGACTCCTGTGTAACAGATTAGATTTATTACATGTTAATCGTGTTTGTCACAGCTTGTTCATGTTTTTGTGCTTTATATTCAACAATATGGCAGTTCCTTTGGTGTAGATTATATAGTGTACTTCTTCGGTGCGAAGATTTAAACCCCAGCAAACTATTTACTAAATTAGACTTACAATGTACAGAGGTTTCTTATTGTTATTATAGAAGTTGTTATTGTCAAAAACTGGTAAATACGGACCCACAAATGTAATTTTGGCAATCTGTATTTCAAGTCTAAAAATCAATGTTTATTAAAGTGCAAGCATCAAACCTATAATTTTATCTTTTTCTTCTCAAATTGTAATAATATCATTTATACGTTTACGATATGCAGTAGGATGCATTATACATATTTGCAGTGGACCTAATTAGTCAAATATTTATCTGCGTTTGGTGAATATAAAGTATATAATAGGTATCACACACAATACCTTGAGGTGCTAAATTCAAATGATGGAGTTTCATTAGTAAGTATATTTTATAAATCACCTTCCTGCAGTCAAATATTAGCATTTAGTGCAGTGTTAATTAATAAAAATAGCTTGCATAAATAAATATAGAACTAAAGCATAATTCTATAACATTTAAAGCGATATCAACCCCTCGGGCTTTTTAGGCACTTTCCTCAGCTGATTTAATCATTGACATTGAATGCAGCTTCTTTATTATTAACCACTTCCTGTCCGGACACTTTTACCCCCTTCCTGTCCAGGGCAATTTTCAGCTTTCAGCGCTATCACACTTTGAATGACAATTGCGCGGTCATGCAACACTGTACCCAAATGAATTTTTTACCATTTTTTTGAGACAGATAAAGCTTTATTTTAGTGGTATTTATTCACCGCTGGGATTTTTATTTTTTTTGCTATGTAAATGAAAAAGTCCAAAAATTTTGAAAAAAAAAAAGTGTTTTTTTTTATAAAATTTTGCAAATAAATAATATTTCATCATAAATCTTGGCCAAAATTTATTCCGTTATCTTTTTAGTAAAAACAAAAAATTCTAATTAGTTTATAACCAAAAATTATAATTTTTAAACATTTGTTTTACATTTTTATTTTATTTTTTTATATTATTATTTTTTTTATTTATTTATTTTTTTTACATACTGTCACCCTAGCAGTACAGTGTCACCATGGTGACACTGTACTACTTGTGGGGGTGATGAAGATTTTTTTTTTTTTTTTTTACACATTGCTTTTACACCCATATAGGATGTAAAAGCAATCATTTCTCTTTCTCTCTGTCTGCATTCTTGCACTCATTGAGAAGTACTGAGTGAGCTGTGATTGGTCACAGCTTGTCACATGGTACAAGCCTGTTGTGAATAGGCTTGTACCATGTAACCTCTGTGATCATTCACAGATTTCACACGTAGTAAGCAATGATGTCACAAGTGACATCTTGCTTACTACTTTGCATGTGATCACTGATTGGCCAATCAGTGATCACATGATCGGGACCTCGTACAGAGGTCCTGTCCGACGATCGGTGTTTCACTGTGTCCGGAGGACACAGCGGGCACAAGCAGGGTGCGAGGGAGCACGCACAAGCAGGGTGCGGGGAGGCCGTTTATAAACGGCCACCCGACCCTGCACTGCCACCGTCTGGCCGTTTATATGCAACGGCCGGTCGGGAAGTGGTTAATAATATTTATTATTATTATTATTATTACTATTATTATACAGGATTTATATAGCGCCAACAGTTTGCTCAGCGCTTTACAATATAATGAGAGACAATACAGGAACAATACAGTTCAATACAAGAGGGTTAGGAGGGCCCTTGGAGCTTACAATCTAAGAGGGTGGGGGTTATCTGTTAATCCTTGTAAAATTCCAGTTTAAGCTGGTGCCATGACCACTGCCCCAGGTGTCCTGTTTCAGGGTGGCTCCTTTCTCAAGCAGCGTCCTGTGAAGCCACCTGTGCTGGAACTAGAGGGTTTTTTTTCTACACTGTGTGCATCAGTAGAAACACACAGCCCCATAACCTAGAATGACAAGGCACTTTTCTGCACCCCACTACTCCTGGCCTGTCCTTTATCTAAGCTAACAGACTGACTTTAGACTGCACTGTCCACTGTTAATTCTTTCCTGTGAAGACCGAAAGTTCAGGGAAGCAACACTAAGTCCTCATGCACACTGGACGTTATTACAGCGGCTGTTTTTGGTTTTTAACATTTTTTTTTCTACAGCCAGTAAACTCCCCAGCATGTTATCCTATGTGTCCATGCACACACAGACTGTAATCAACGTTTTTTTTGGCAGGGGCATTTTTTGGCTGGAAAAAAAACCCAGAACTAGTGGGTTTCTAGAGGAGTTTTTTAGCTGTAAAAACGCTCTAACACTAAAAAAAGTGGCAAAACGCAGTAAATAGTGGCACAGCAGTGTTTTTGGACTTTTGTTAAGCAAAATAAAAAATTTTTTGGAGTAAAAACATTAAAAATGCAAACACGAAAAAACGTGGCTAAACGCTAGTGCAAAAACACTAAAAAAAAAACCACTGAAAAACTCACATTTTAACGTTTCTTTACACAGCTAATGTAACCAGCGCAGGGGCGGACTGACAATTCATGGGGCCCCCGGGCAATAGGGATCATGGGGCCCCTGTGTCATTGCCAAAACTCAAAAAAGTCTATGAAAAAGGTACCAGGGGCATCTCATGGGGCCCCCTACTGACCCTGGGCCCTCGGACAGTGCCCGAGTTTCCAAATGGTCAGTCCACCCCTGAACCAGCGTTATTAAAATGCCCAGTGTGCATGGAGTCTAAGAAAGCAGGAGCCAGCAGCGTCGAAAGTTGTAAACTGCAAGAATTTTTACAAATAGTTTACTTGGGAATGTTTATTTTGTTGTGCTCAGTGTGATAAACGCTAAGGGTTTATTATTACGTTAACTCCTATCTGTAAGCTAGGCTAGAAAATATTGGGTTGAACTTACATTTGCTTTCCAATTAGGGAGGAGAAAACTGCAATGTCAATGAAGCGACAATCTTCAGCCTTTTTGCCAGTGGATATGACACCAAACCTACCCTTAGTGTCCCGATCCATGTTGTAGAGCTGAACAATGTACCTGCAGAATTAAGAATGTCTGTGGGTGTCTCGCCTCGACAAGATATTACAAAGACATCACCCACAAGGATAAGAGAGTTTAGGGTAAGATCAATTTGTCAAATGTGTGTCACTTCTAAGAATAAGCACTAAACAGAAACATGACATCTGAAAATGGCTGGGGCTCATAAACGCAGGTTTGCCCTTTATGTATAGCGCTCATATTGCTCTATTTTCAGTAACCTTTTGTAAACAACAGCACAAACACTTGCTGTTACCTACATTGTTCAATGACTATTAAAGAATAATAGCACTCAGTACCATTATGACTAAAATGACTTGATGCAATAGTACTTTTCATCAGTAGATGGTGTTAAAGGTGATATCATAAATACCGAGTTCCCAGTTTGAAAAAAGAACACATGCTACTAAAATATTTCAATCCTAACTTTGGTTAAATAAACAAAAAAAACTTACATTGAATGTGAAGTATCCTCCTTGTTCTGCTGGCTGTTCTTTTGGTTGAAATCTGACCTGTCATAAGCACTCAGCAAGAGTATTGATTATGTCTACCCTTTCCGCCCCCTCCTCCTCCATTCATAAAAGCTGTACTATGGCTCCCAGCAATGAAAAGCCCTGTATGAATGGAGTAGGTGGACCTTTTATTCATCTACCAATTCTCTATATATACATTGCATGCCATTGGTGTAAGCTATAGTACAGATTCTACGAATGGAGGAAAAGAGGCTGGAAGGGCTGGCATAGTCAGCGTTCTTTATGAGTGTCTGTGACAGGTCTATTGGCTTCTATCCACCCCCACTGGAAGTTAACTATTAACCCCCACTGCTGTGGGGCATGGGGGAACTGCAGAGGATGAAATATTTCAACTAAGACAAGCCACCAGCACAATGGACATTTCTCACAAAATGCTAGTACGGTCCCTTGTGTTGATTTTTTTTTTTTATTAACTAATCTTAGACTTTGAAGTGGAACTGAACCTTCCTATCCTTTACAGTATCAGTGTGTAACAACCTACTTTCACTTCCTTCTTCTTCAAGTTTCTTTTGTTACTTTTAGACTGATGTAAAACCACGTGATCGTTAAAAGAGAGTTCTGGACCCTCCGCCAAAAAAAAAATTCAAAGTCAGCAGCTACATTATTTGATGTTAATATTAGGGCACTTACCTGTCCATGGAACCAGCGGTGTCCTCATCCTGAGCCGATTCTTCAGTTGGCTGTCAAGTGCTGGTGCTGCCATCTTGACTAAGGGAAACCGACAGTGAAGCTTTGCGGCTTCACAGCCGGTTTCCTACTGCGCATGTGTGAAGTGTGCGGCACTTTGTGAATGGCCCACAGTCCTCTGGGACCTGTGAAGTGTCCCAGAGGGCTGCTGTCCAACTTCCTGAGCTGGAAGTGGGAGCAGGTACCGGTCAAAATCAGGTACCCACTCCCCCCCAAAAGGTGCCAAATGTGACAGCAGAGGGGGGGAGGAGGCAGCTAAGCAGAACTAAATTCTGCAGTGTTTACCTCTGCTCTAACATTGTGACACCCGCGAGGTTTATTGTTGATGCTGCCATCTTCTCCTGGCTTCTTCCTGGTGCCAGTCTTTGCTGTGTTGATTGGCTGGCATTGGATGATGTAAAACCTGCCCACATGCAGGAGTTCAGTCATCCCAGGCATGTCAGGAACCTAGACTGAACTGTGCATGTGCAGCTCAGTGAAAGTTTTAGTGAACACTGAGAGCAAACCGGTAAGTTTATTTTATTGCAGAATAGACATTGCATTGTCTTCTTTATTGTCACCTGATGATTTGGGCAATAAATCTGTTATTTTTCAACTTCCTTTAACAGACTAAATTGTCCAGCAATACTGGCAGTTAGAGCGTTGGGACAAACCATTTACCACTGACAGGAGTGCTTACAATGATCAGCTTTTATTTATTTATGTAAAACCTTTATCCTAAAAGAAAAAAAACTGTTGATGTCACTGCTTATAAAGTGTTAGCTGGAGATCAACTTTAATTTGTTAGTCTGTTATGTAAAGGCCATCTAAATCTACTAGTCCACCTAACACTACCTTCTCCATGCATGGCCAAGGTGTCCAAGGGCGGTGTATCTGTTAAATAACCATAGATGGAGCCACCCTTGGGCAGGAAATGTTTTACTTGCCAGATAACCAGGTGAAAATAAGGGGGAAAAAAAGCCTAAAAACTAATGGAGCCACCAGATCAATGGACTGGTAAGCTGTAATATATTACATTTGTGTTTTTGGGTTGAATACGTGATTGATCTGTTTCATTTCTGCTTATCCATAAAATAGAGAAAAACATGGTTCTAACTTGTTTTATATCTCAGGAAACCACATACAACCCAAGCTGGGTAAAATCTAGATATGGAGCTTGGTACTTGGATCCTAAAACGTGGAAGGAACATAAAGCCAATGAACCATTAAAAGACCCAGCAATGGAAAATAATGAAAATGGCATTCACTCAAATACCAAACTCAGCCAAAAGGTACCTTGAATAAAAAGAAACACAATGATTATACCCATCTTCCACTTGAATAAAACTGACCTGAGATGGAAAACTGTAATTTTGCAAATATTAATGTGTCGTGTAAAGTTTAGATATTCATTGTTCTGGGTTTACCTGGCAGTAAGTATGACAACTTAGAGCCATATGGGTAGGTCAACTTTTGCAGCATACAGCTCCCCCCCACACTAGTGCATATGTTAGATTGACAAAGACCAATCAGATTCTCTGCTTACTAGATTGAAAAGGTTAAAGCGGAGTTCCACTCCGTTCCAAACAAATAAAAATTAGCAGCTGCAAAAACTGTAAACTGCTGACTTTTAAAAAACAGCCACTTACATGTCCCTTGGTCCCGTGTTGTGTCCCCCACAGCCCATTTCACCGACCGCCCTGTATTCCAGGAGGCCGGCATCTTCAGTGTGGGCACCCAGCTGTGATAGCTTGCAGCTTCACAGCCGGGTACCTACTGCGCATGAGTGAGTAGCGCTGCGCTTCATGAATGGTCCTGTAGTCTTCTGGGACCTGTCGCATGTCCCAAAAGACTACAGGGAGGGAGGACACCTTCTGTTTCCAATTGCCTATGCGATCGGACCGGAAGTGGGAGTGGGTACCTGTCAAATTTGGGTACCCGCTCCCCCCCCTGCCCCTGCCCAGCAAAGGTGCCAATCCTTAATGGGGAGCGGGGGGGGGAGCAGTCCTTAAAGCTGAACTTCACCTTTTGGATGGAGCTCAGCTTTAATAAACCTTTACTACTAACTGATGGTACAACAGAAGGCAAAGGTAGAGTCAGGCCTACCGGCTGCACTGGATATTATTTTACTTCCAAACAGCTACAGTCTTAGCTGGATTGCATTGATTTTTAAACTTACATTAGTAGCTTGACAAATAAATGTATTTCCTGTATTTGCTTCAGTATGGAGTACATGCAGGAACTGTACAGAACATTTTTTTTATACATTTTCTGTTGTGGGTTTTAGTTTTGTTGTAGAATACTAAATGCAGGTTATGCATCAAAATATGCGGATTACTGTAAGCAACTGGTTTGTGTAACTCTAGGATGAAGAATTGTTGCAGCTTCATGGAACTACTGCCTTTAAAGATTTTATTGAGAAAAAAGGGTACAGAAAACCAGAGGTGAGCTGTGCTTTTTTTTTTGTTATGACCTGAGCATAATTCCTCCGTAGTAAAAATGTGCTGAATTTCAGACTTTCACAGCCCAGTGTTTCTGTGGGAAAGTGCTCCGAAATGCAATAAAGACTGCAGCTAACACATTAATGCCCTTGTAACCTGTACTCCTTCTGTATCATTGTTACCTAAAGCTAGCACACCATATAATCTATCTACACATGGATATAACTGCACAAAACCCTGCTACTGCTGCTGTTTGGACACATCCATATCTGTTAATCATCAAAGTCCTAGTCATTCCCATGAGCATTGTTTACCTAAGGTGTCTGCTGAGATAAAATTCTTTACTTTGACTAAAGCTAGCCATACATGGATCGCAATTTGGTCAGATTAGCAAGCACTGGCCGAATTCTGATCTGTGTATGGGAATGGAGATTGTACAGAAGCTGATCTACCAATGGACTTCTGTACAATAGCCCTGTTGGATTTTCCCTACTTGATCAATGCTGCCTGCTATAGCTGGCAGCGCTGATCAGTGGATACTGATGGCAGGGAAGTCTCTACTCTGTCAGAATACAATAACTCAGCAGGGAGGATTTTTCCATCCACCTCGAATGCTTGGAAGTGGGAATCGAGTCATTTTTTTTTCATTCAAATTGGTGGTTCAATGAAAAAATAAAATGAATCATCTATGAGCTACCTAATGTTTGCCCAGGATCCAATCAATATTAAAGACAGCCCTGGTCGTACAGGTACGTTGCTGAATTGGAAGAGTGATATCTAGGTCTTCGCTGCAGCAATGATTGAGATATACAGTCAGGTCCATAAATATTGGGACATCGACACAATTCTAACATTTTTGGCTCTATACACCACCACAATGGATTTGAAATGAAACGAACAAGATGTGCTTTAACTGCAGACTGTCAGCTTTAATTTGAGGGTATTTACATCCAAATCAGGTGAACGGTGTAGGAATTACAACAGTTTACATATGTGCCTCCCACTTATTAAGGGACCAAAAGTAATGGGACAATTGGCTTCTCAGCCGTTCCATGGCCAGGTGTGTGTTATTTCCTCATTATCCCAATTACAATGAGCAGATAAAAGGTCCAGAGTTCATTTCAAGTGTGCTATTTGCATTTGGAATCTGTTGCTGTCAACTCTCAAGATGAGATCCAAAGAGCTGTCACTATCAGTGAAGCAAGCCATCATTAGGCTGAAAAAACAAAACAAACCCATCAGAGAGATAGCAAAAACATTAGGCGTGGCCAAAACAACTGTTTGGAACATTCTTAAAAAGAAGGAACGCACTGGTGAGCTCAGCAACACCAAAAGACCCGGAAGACCACGGAAAACAACTGTGGTGGATGACCGAAGAATTCTTTCCCTGGTGAAGAAAACACCCTTCACAACAGTTGGCCAGATCAAGAACACTCTCCAGGAGGTAGGTGTATGTGTGTCAAAGTCAATAATCAAGAGAAGACTTCACCAGAGTGAATACAGAAGGTTCACCACAAGATGTAAACCATTGGTGAGCCTCAAAAACAGGAAGGCCAGATTAGAGTTTGCGAAACGACATCTAAAAAAGCCTTCACAGTTCTGGAACAACATCCTATGGACAGATGAGACCGAGATCAACTTGTACCAGAGTGATGGGAAGAGAAGAGTATGGAGAAGGAAAGGAATTGCTCATGATCCTAAGCATACCACCTCATCAGTGAAGCATGGTGGTGGTAGTGTCATGGCGTGGGCATGTATGGCTGCCAATGGAACTGGTTCTCTTGTATTTATTGATGATGTGACTGCTGACAAAAGCAGCAGGATGAATTCTGAAGTGTTTTGGGCAATATTATCTGCTCATATTCAGCCAAATGCTTCAGAACTCATTGGATGTCGCTTCACAGTGCAGATGGACAATGACCCAAAGCATACTGCAAAAGCAACAAAAGAGTTTTTTAAGGGAAAGAAGTGGAATGTTATGCAACGGCCAAGTCAATCACCTGACCTGAATCCGATTGAGCATGCATTTCACTTGCTGAAGACAAAACTGAAGGGAAAATGCCCCAAGAACAAGCAGGAACTGAAGACAGTTGCAGTAGAGGCCTGGCAGAGCATCACCAGGGATGAAACCCAGCGTCTGGTGATGCCTATGCGTTCCAGACTTCAGGCTGTAATTGACTGCAAAGAATTTGCAACCAAGTATTAAAAAGTGAAAGTTTGATTTATGATTATTATTCTGTCCCATTACTTTTGGTCCCTTAATAAGTGGGAGGCACATATGCAAACTGTTGTAATTCCTACACCGTTCACCTGATTTGGATGTAAATACCCTCAAATTAAAGCTGACAGTCTGCAGTTAAAGCACATCTTGTTCGTTTCATTTCAAATCCATTGTGGTGGTGTATAGAGCCAAAAATGTTAGAATTGTGTCGATGTCCCAATATTTATGGACCTGACTGTAAGTTTTTAGGGCTGGCAATTCCCTTCAATGTAAAAGTAATCCTAGTGGCTAAGAAGCTGCTGACTTCCTTTTACAGGTGGCAGAAGAGGGTCTCACCCGCCACTGCTGTTACCGGGCTCTCCTGTGCAATCAAGCTAAGCTATAGAAACCTCAAATTACCTTTTTATGTACTCTGAATCCTCACAGTTTATTATAACTACACATATATGATTCTTTACTGAAAACTCCAAATTTTGGATTTAACCATTTGCCGCCCGGCCAATGGCCGTTTGGCGGCGGCAAAAGTGCTTCTGCATTCCGGGTGCATGCCATTTGGCGTGCTCCCGCACATGCTCAGTTCGCATAACTGCAGAGCGGCACAGCGGCGCGATCTGTCACCGGCCGTGTACCTCGGACACGGCCGATGACAGATCTGAGTACCGGCCCCCGTTGCTGGTACCATGTGACCTGCTGTGACCAATCACAGCAGGTCACATGACAGTTGTATACAATGGATGGCTTCATTCATGCCATCCATTGTATACTAGTGCCTAACTGTGAATGGTCACAGCAGGTCACATGCACATGTCATGTGATTAGCTGTGATCAAATCACAGCTAAGCACAAAAAAAAAAAAAAAAACTGAATGAATCGATTTCATTCTGGTAAATGCTTGCTTATAGCAAAGTAATTCTTTGCTATAAGCAAATTGTGTAAAAAAAAAAAAAAAAAAATAAATACTGATCACTTCCCCAAAGTAGTACAATGTTACTATGGTAACATTGTACTACTTTGGTCATAGTAAAATATGAAAATAAAATCTTAAAAAAAATAAAACAAATGTAATAAAAAATTTAAAATAATAAAAAAATATATATATATATATATTTTTTCATACTGTCACCAGTCAGTGTCCCTGTTCACCGCCATGCCAGTTATATGATGACGCTGTACTGCACTGGTGACAGTATGTAAAAAAAAAAAATAGTGAAAATTATTTTTTTAATTTTTTCATTTTCCCGAAAAATTATGACAAAAAAAATACAACTTTAAAAAAACTCGCCATTCCTCTTATGAAGTACGTCGGACTGTCTACTCTGCAAAAAGGGGTCATTTGGGGGATATCTGTACTGTTCTGACATTCTTGGACTTCAAGAAATTAGATTGGCTGTCAGTACTTCAGGATTGATCAATATTCAGATCTATACCATAGTTTGTGAACTCTATAACTTTCCTACAAACTAAATAATACATCCTAATTTGGGTTATTTTCACCAAAGACATGTAGCAGAATACATCTTGGCCTAAATTTATGAAGAACAATTATTTATTTGTAAACTTTTATAACAGAAACAAAGAAAAACTTGTTTTTTTTCAAAATTTTTGGTCTTTTTTTGTTAATTTAGCAAAAAATTAAAACTCCAGCAGTGATTAAATACCACCAAAAGAAAGCTCTAGTTGTGTGAAGAAAATGATAAAATTTTAGTTTGGGTACAATGTTGTATGACCGCACAATTGTCATTCAAAGTGTGAGAGCGCTGAAACATGAAAACTGGCCTGGGCAGGAAGGTGTAAAATTGCATGGTATTGAAATGGTTAAAAACAATTTCCTCAGGTCAACTTTTAAAGATGTAAGGATTTTAGCAAACTTTATTTCAGATTCCTACCCATTACATTATTTATACAGAGTATATTGTACAGTACATATAATGGTTAGTCCAGCGTACTTGGCATTAGATTCTGCATAGACATGTTCAGTCCCAGATTTGTATAGTAGAGTAATGAATGTCTGGTATTTCTGTAGATGAGTGGAAAAAGTTGTGTAAATGCTGTATATTTTATATAACTGTTGCTTAGCTTGCACATTTTCCATTTCAATACATTTTTAATAAAGAGAACATACATTAAGAATGAGTACATGTACAGAAATAGGGGAGTACAATACCCCTGGAAAGCTGCACCAATGGTGTAAACCGTTGCAAGGCTTGGAGGTAGGTAGCATATACAGTAGTAGGGCCCATGGGAAGGTAAACCACAATACAAGTACAGCAACCTAGGTGGAACCAGAGTTCAGAGTCATACCTAACAACATAGGTTAAAAAGAAGGGTTGATGCATGTAGGGTGGTGCTAGTTTTGCATAAATGATATCCAAGACTATCCTGAACTCAAACAAATACTGGGAAGTTATATGTCCAGAGATAATTGAGTAATAGAAAAGGAGTGAGGGTGAGGCAGATAGAAAAGGGCAATGGAGACAAGGGAAAGAAGCCAAGATAACAAAAAGGAGAAGAGAGGTAAATGGGGAAGGACTGGGTAGGAGGAGAGGGGATGCGGGGGCAGGGGTTATTGAAAACTAGCACATTTTCTGCATTGGAACTTTCATATAACCTATTTAAATCTAAAGGTAGCCAGTGATACTGTATTTCACATAAAATGCTGCATGTAACTTGACCGCAAACTCTCTGCATAGTTATAGAAGTGAGCCAGTTACAGCTACAGCTGGAAATCCTTAAAATATGCGCTTTGAAATTTTATGTTGCAGTTATTGTTTGAAATGATGGATGGCTGAAGATTGACACAGAAAGAGAATTTGAATGTATATGAAGCACCCTCTAGTTTAGTTAGGATTTTTGTGTGTTTAGTTAGAGGCCTGCTAGAAGCCTGGGTATGAGTCAACCTGGGAGTGAGTCAGTGGGGTCACTCCAGGTTAGACTGGGAGGCTCTGCAGAACAGGGCTTCCTCCCACCCTTCTAGAAACATCTGCCACCTTCTAGAAGAGGGATGGAGGAGGCCTAGATTTTGCATGTTTGAGGGAACCTGGCCAATCTCCAGGCAGGAGGCCTGGCATGGTGGCTAGGTCAGCCCTTAAATATGGGAAAGCCTGATCAGCAGAGTAGTTGGGTGGAAGATGGAGTGAGGAAGGTGCTGCTGGGGTGGAGCCGGGGAGGGTGCCCTGCCTACAAGCTGAAGCTGGACCAAAGGACCTCCAATATCCCACAGTCTACCTAGGAAAGACAGCCTTTCAGCAGGGAAGCAGCCAGCCCAGCAAAAAAGCTTGAAAGCAACTGCAACCCTTTAAGCCACAGGAACAGGACAGTGTGAGTAGTTCTACTACGCCCCCTGGGCCAAAGAAGGGAGAGGGCGGTCAGGTGCAATACCCAACTAGTTCTCCCTTGAACTACTTAATTTGTACGTCTCAGAATCCCTTGCTCAGGGACACTCTCAAGACAGCCAGGTGGATGAAGAGATTTTCATCTGGGGCCTGAGGAGATACACTAAGGGGACCAAGTGCTCCTTGCAAAGACTGTGTGCTGCTGATTTTTGTGCTCAGAAGTTTGTCCTCCAATTTGTACAGTTCCATTGGGCATCCCATATACCCCTAGACCCCATCCAAGTTGTTAGCCCGCAATAAAACAAAAAAAAAACAAGTCACAGACTGTTTAATGACTTTGGATGAAAGTGTGGAAACTGTGTGTGACCTGACTGTGCAGAGCTTAGGGGGACCCAAAAACTCAGCAGTCCTCGAGATGATAGTGCTACGTATATATTTATTTTTTTTACCAAAAATAGAACCATATTTTAAAGAACCCATGTACACCAATGCATTGATGCAACACTTAGTGTGCTGTTGTGCCATTCATTGCGAATTGCAAGCGCAGCGCATACTGCAGTGCATGTTAAGGTAATACTACGTGTTACAATGTGCTACAGAAAAATACTGCAGGTTCAAATTAAAGGATAGGTTCACCTTTAGTAACATGTTACTTTACACCTACAGTACTTTACACCTGCAGTATATTTAGGGTAGTAACATGTTACTAAATCAACTGCCGCCAATGCAACCCGGTCCCCCTGCTCCTGTTGTCACAATTAAAAAACAGTGTAGCCATGTGGGGCTCTGTTCACACAGCTACGTCATTCATTCACAGAGTTCTGTGAATGAATGGCACTTCCTGATGAAGATCCATTGATCGAAACCGGTCGAGGTTTGATGACGCAACTTCTGCTGATGTCATTTCCGCCCTTTGGAACAAACGCTGGAACGCTGCGGCCATCTTGGTTCCTATTCACAGGCAGCAAGGCTGAATACACTGAGTGCCAGGTTATGGGCACTTTGCTTGTGAGTTTTATTCTTATAATTTCTCCCCATTATTAAAGTTTTTTATGGTTTTACACTATGGGATGTTTGCTTTTGTTTCTGTTCACATGCTGAAACTTGGTTTACTGCCTGGGAGGAGAGGAGAAAGTTTAAAAAGGCTCTTTTGAAACTAAACTGTCATTTATATCCATGCTGGTCATCATCCTATTGGTTACTATCAGCCAGATCGCATGATTCCCAGGAATGAATATTGGTGCTATTCTTGCCATCACGCATTGGGCTTGTCCCTAACCAGGTGCTGCTTAAGACCAACCTAGAGATAGGTGGTCCACGGCTAACGGTGAATGCACATCCATGTGGGGCACCGACTGAGCACAGAGGAGCAACTGTCATTTCTGCACGAAGTTCACCAATTATTATTCAATACCTGGGCACTTTATTTTTCCGAATTGGGACTGAATGTCACAATTATTCACTTTGTTTATGTGAAACAGTATTACTCATGTATTGTAAAATTTAATGCACTTAATTTATGCGCAGCCTATCAGGTATTTTGTTTGTTTTTGTGTTATTGGTTCACAAATTAGGACTGCAGCGAATACTTATCAAAGTTGCATGAACATCTATTCCTAAGCGCAACAGCAATATATATTCTTTAATGAACGAACTATAACTCCCTGAGGGTGCTCCACTCTGGTCATGTGATCGGCTCCAAGCGGCTGGATTCAGGGGAGAGAACAGACAGCTGACAATGAATGCCCCATAGTAAGCCTATGGATGATGTCACCAAGCAGGCATTCTAGCAGTTGGCAGTGTTCTCTCTCCTCTCCCCTGAAGCCAGCGGCTGGGGAGATCATGTGACTAGACTGGAGCGCTCTGAGAATAGGTAAGTATATGCATCTTCCTTCTACAGGTTATTTAGAATAGGAGTTAGTAGGTGGGTGGGAGCCATTTTAAGCTTCATTAGTTCTACCCTGGAATTCTAATTTAAAGCAAGGCACAGTAACATACAACATAACACGCATGCATTAAATGCACCACAACTGTGTGGTCTGAATGGGACCATACTATTGCTTTCAGTAAGATTAGCATGTTTTGCATGTATCAGAACAGAATTTTTTTTTCTTTCAGTTTCTGAGCAAAATATTATATAAGAAAGATGCCGTGTTTTCCGAAAGAGAAATCCCAACAGAATCCAGAGATATATCTACTGCAGGGAACACTTGGTACCGGACTGGCTCAGCATCCACCCATGAAGAAAGCATAATAAACTGACAATGTTCTTTCAGTCACATCTTCTGACTTTGGTTTGAATATTAACTACGGCATGAACACACTACTATTTAACCATACTAGAAGGTGTAAAGTACAAGGGCAACTATTGTAAAATGTCAACATTATAAATAAGCAGTGCAACCATAAATGTTACTGAAATATTTGTAATACATTACTGGCATCGAAGCTTGCAAAAATAAAGGGTTGTGTTGAACAGTTTAAAACTTGCATCCAAGTTCTCACTTAAAGCGGAACTCCAAGGAAAATCCAAAGTTACCTTTGCAGTGTGCAAGTACCTCTCTCCCCCACCTCACCCCACAGCAAGGACTGAATTCTTGTTTTTGTCTAGGTGCAGTGGGATCCCACTACAAGGGTAACTGGAATTTTTCCAGAGTTTAGCTTTAACGTAAAAGTACATTGTACCTTCTCTTAGTATGCATGTGGAGTTGTCATTTAGAAGGTTAATTCCTATATTGTTCCTTAAACCATCAGCAATGTGAAGTACCCCTTAATACCAGGAGCGTGCCACAGCAGGGGTGAAGGTTTGTATGCTCATGGCAGGGGGGTAATGAGCATGTTGATACGCACTCCAACACGCCAACAACATTAGATTGTCTTGAGTTGGTATTTGTTATTAAGTGCTTGCCCATCACCCTATAGTAGAAATACTGCTACAGGGCACCAGAGCTGCGCAAAATCACATATATATATATATATATATATATATATATATATATTATATTGTGAATTGCATTTCCGGGTAGGGGGGCACACGTGCCGCTCTACGGGCTACGGATGTCAATCTCTGGGTCCCGGCTGGGGATTCCCCTCCGGCACCCGGCGATCGCCGAGTAACGCTGACAGGAGAGAGACCTGTATGTAAACAACACAGGTCTCTCTCCTGCCAGCAATAACATGCTGCTGTGTATTTCTCTGCACAACAGAAAAATACACAGCAACATGTCTCCCTAGTAAAACACACACAGCACATTATGTAACAGCACATAGTTAACCCTTTGATCACCCCAGATGTTTGTTAACCTCTTCCTGCCCAGTGTCATTAGTAAAGTGTCAGTGCTTTTTATTAGCACTGATCACTGTATTAGTGTGATTGGGATGTCAGTGGCACCAAGTCAGTTCCCACCCAGTGTCATAATGCCTGCCACAGTCCTGCTGTAAGTCGCTGATCGCCGCCATTACTAGTATAAAAAAAAATACAAATTAAAATTCCAATATATATATACCGCCATTTGTAGACATTATAACTTTCACGTAAACCAATTAATTTACATGTATTTGGGATTTTTTTTTTAGCAAAGACATGTCGCAGAATATATTTTGGCCTAAATTTATGAAAAAACAGCATGGTTGTGTAATCCTGGGACGACGTCCATGGATGTCATTCCAAAACATGCTCCCCCAGCAGCACGCACCCGGAGCCCCCGGTGATATGGTAAATGGCCAATCACGGCAGCCTTTTACCACGTGATCAGCTGTGTCCAATGACACAGCAGATCACCCGTTAAATACAGTTGCCGGTTATTGGTTGCACTTTTCTCACGCTGTTACAGCATGAGGAAAGTACTGTCGAGAACCAGTAATTGTCAGCAAAGGGATCGACACTGATTATTAGGGCACTGATGATCAGTGCCACCCACCTGTGCCCATCAGTGCCACCCACCTGTGCCCATCAGTGCCGCCTATCAATGCTGCCCATCAGTGCTGCCCAGCAGAGCAGCATGATCAGTGCTGCCCATCAGTGCCGCCTATCAGTGTCCATCAGTGCTGCCTATCCGTGCCACCTAATCAGTGCCCATCAGTGCTGCCTATCAGTGCCCATCAGTGCAGCCTCATCAATGCACATCAGTGAAGGAGAAAAATTACCTGTTTGCAAACTTTTATGATAGAAACAAAGAAAAACTTTTTTTTTCTTAATATTTTTTTTGTTTATAGCACAAAAAATAAAACACCCAGCGGCAAGTAAATACCACCAAAAGAAAGCTCTATTTGTGTGAAAAAAATGATAAAAATCTCACATGGGTACAGTGTTGCATGACCGTGCAATTGTCAAATTGCGAAAGCGCTGAAAGCTGAAAATTGGACTGGGCAGGAAGGGGGTATAAGTGCCCGGTAGGCAAGTGGTTAAATTAAAAAAAAGTCATTGCTTTAGGATGTGTTCCAGACCACAAGTCCAAGCCTCCCCCACCCCATTTGAAAATGAAATGCATTTGTCACACCCAGCCCCCATCTCCAGGGCTACTGCTTGTTAACACTCATCCTCTATATTGCCTTACACATTCTCTTGATTCACCTCCCCACCCACCCACCATACATATTCTACTGACTCACGTCCTGTTGCTACACTACACATTACTTTCTTTCCCTACTGACTTCACACAACCTGCTGAAGCTACTTACATATAACCAGTCAGGCTGGTCATACCCATTAGAAGGTGCTTGATTCTGCCTGCACCATTCACCCTCAGGACAAGTCCTCCTCAGGGTAGCTATAGATGGGTAATCCTCTACCCAGGAATGATGGGAGACACATCTACCCCATTATCATTGCAATTATGTCCCGATGACTCCTATTGCAATTTTCGGCCCATCTCAGCCTAAAGGTGGGAATACATGATTAGAAAATCGACCAACCGGTCATCCAACGACCAAGAGGTGTTCATTTGTCGAAATTGTGGTCCACATTAACCAATATGAAAAAACCGTTTGTCGGGCAATACATAGTGTTGACGTCTTCCGTACAAGTGGAAGTGATGCCGTGTGCGTGTGACCTTGTAGCCACGCCCTTCCGGCCAGAACAAGTGATATACACAACAATTAACAGCAATGAGTATAATATAGTTTATTACATTATCTATATACATAAATAGTGATACATAAAATATAATATGCAGAATTCTGGTTTCATTATCTCATTAGGCCAATCTACTTTTAACATTTGGATTTTTCATTCGTGTTTATGAAGATTCCTTAGACATAAACATCCGGGTCATCTTCTGTTTCCGCTCATGCGTGATAGCGCTTGATAGATAGATTTTTTTGTACGACCGTCATACCACCGCATAGAAAAAATCGGTCGTTTGTATGCAAAACGACAACATTTTTCACTATTGTTCAACTGGATTTTTTCGTTCACAATATCGTTATCGGTTAAAACATCCTGCTCATCAACGAAGAGAAAATCGTTCGATCAGTGGTTCAGCTAAACTTTTTGTACAAATTTCTAATCGTGTGTACGGGGCATAAATAACATATAAATGTAAATGAGTTTTAGCTTCTGGTAGCATACTGTCTGTTATATGCAGATGTACTGTATGTTTGTAGTGTACACAGTCCATAAATACAAAATCTATAGAGAAAAAACAGATGACTGTATGTTATCTGCACTACAAGAAAGAGGCTTTGCTGCTTCTTATTAGCATGATCACTCGGGCACCGGATTACATGTTTCTTGGTGAATGCAGCACATAGACAGCAGCATCACTGAAATTAAACTACGGCTATCATGAAAGAAATACAGGGACAGTCATTGCTGATCTCCCCTAAAAAATGATGGTTTCGCAGCTGACCTTAAAGTGTTACTAAACCCACAACAGTAAAATCAGTCTGTATATGCAGTAAATCATGCTTGTTATACTCACTGTGGAACCTAAGGGGTTAATCCTATGCATTGTGTAAAAAGGCTGTTTGATCCTGTCTTCTCTGATCCTCCCCTTCTTCCAGTGTCTCCCTCTTATCTCCTGATAAGCCATATTGTGTGGCATCACTCTGCACATGCTCAGTTTGGTGTGTATTGCTAGAGAGTTTTTTTTTTCTTGGGAGAGTGCATGTGATCAGCACAGGGCCAATCAGCACTGTCCACACAAAGGTCAGGGGTTCTGCATCCTCCTTGAGCACAATGAAAACTCTTCCTACAAGCTTTAAGCCTCCATGTTATTTGTACTGTGGGAGACCTGATAAAGTCAATGCAGGGTCCTGGGTTTTGTAACACTATAAAGTACATGTAAACTCTCACCTTGTAAAACAACTCATTCGATTTAAATAGAAATGCAAGGCAAAACGTGTGTATATATGTAAATATACACATTATAAATACCTTTTCTCAGCTGCAAAAGGGGCTGGTGGGAGTGTCAGTATGAGGCATAGCAGTGCCATGGTCTTCCCAGTGAATGGCTGAATGAGGGGGGGGGGGTTGTGTCTGATAAATGGAGGACATGCAGACTGGGCTCCTAGCACAGCCAGCAAAATGACCACTCCGGGATGAATGAGTTTCAATGCATAGTGTGGTCAGTTTAAAATGGTAAAGCAGGAACACTGGCAGGACCACTGGGTTTTTTTTTTACAAAGGAAGCAATACAAAATGAAAAGCATACTTTTTATATACATGGTACAACAGACACATATCAGCAATATAAAATGTTGGGGTAACATACCCTTTAATGCAAGTATACAAAAACATTTAGCTCAGGCTGCAATTCTCATCCTAAACTTGAAGCTGTCTTCTGAACTGAATGACATCCAACTTTCTTTTAGATGACTGAGGACATATGATGGACGTAGGGTGTCATTGGGGCATTATCATGACATCCTTCATTCATAGTGTAGTGATGTAGTGAGCCTCAATGAGACAGAGAAATTAGTGTCGCTGCCCACCACTGGAGAAAATTGAGAGAAGAGGACCTATTGGGGTTTATTTACTAAAGCTGGAGAGTCCAAAATCAGACTCCCTTCTGCATAGAAACCACACAGCTTCCAGGTTTCATTGCCAAAGCTTCATTGAACAAGCTGAGGTTAGAAGCTGATTGGTTTCTATGCAGAAGGGAGTCTGATTTTGGACTCTCCAGCTTTAGTAAATAAACCCCATTGTGTCACCTGACATTTATAAAAAAAAAAAATATATATATATATATATATATATGCGCAATGCACACTAGTAGGGCCTCTGGACAGGGAGGGGGTGTCACTTGTGAGGGGGTCATAGA